CATTCAAAAGAAACATTCTACCATAACCATAGTTAAAAAAACGGAACCATACAGTAGGTCCGCAAAACAAAATACCCCTAAACAAAGGGGGAAAGACAATAGGAAAAGATATGGGACAATAGGACAAGGATTATATATATATACACACGAAATTGCACTTAAAATATGAGGATATAATATATACACTCCAAATATTCGAACTTAAAAGACATATGCACATACCGTCCATATACTGAAGATTTGTCAACGGCCCTACTCTCCTCAGGAAATAACGAATTTGAAATTACGCATTTCTGATTTTTACCTTACAGTACAAGAACTGGTAAATTAAATATCGCCATTGATTTCAGATTTTCCACTATCCCAACCTGACGACCGTTACTTTGGCCTCGTGTAAGGTCACCCCGGGCCCATGCCCCACTACCGTCTTCGCCAGAATAGAACGCCCGGTTCTTATAGCTGTATCTGGACTGAAAAGTGCACCAAATACGGCTATAATGACCGGGCGTTCTATTGGGGTGAAGACGGTAGCGGGGGGTTACACTTGCTTTGGGGTACGCTTGGGTTCCAGCCAAGCCGATATGAAAATCTTTTTTCCTTTTTTTTAATATTTTACATTCCTCTTTGTTAATATTTTACAAAAGCCTTAGGGCGACGGCCCTGAGATATGATGATCATCCCACTGACCCGCCCTACCGTCTTCACCCGAATAGAACGTACGGCGATTATTGCTGTATCTAGACTCAAAGTTGCCCAAATACATACAGGTATAATGAACGTACGTTATATTCGGGTGAAGACAGTAGGTAATTCAAGATTGTAGTATTCTAAGGGCCAGATCCCACTGGAAAGAGGATTGGAAGAAGTGTCTGAATCTGGACGTGTTCCACGCAGAGGTGCAGAAAAGTAGAACAATCAAATTTTTGTTCGCACCTGTCGACAAAGACGTCCACATTCAGACGCTTACTACAGTCCTCGTTGCCCGTGGGATCTCCCCCTAAGTCATTTGCTCCAGTGGAGTTCGAACTCAGCTCTGTATTCAACTCTCCACGGGTTTAACAACTGACGAGTGACCAAGGCCACTTGGTCGACCTGAAAATCTCACGTCCAAAAAAAAAAAAAAAAAAAAAAAAAAACTCACGTCCGCACTATGGTCACATTGTCATCCAACACTGGAGGCATGAAAAAAAAAAGAAGACTCTTTACCTGGAGGACCCCATGGCCGAGTGCTCAGGGTGATTGTCATAGGTCTGGAATCGAACCTCTATAACGACCCGGGCTTGGAAAAAAAAAAAAAAAAAAAAAAAAAAAAACTTAACTCCCGTTACTGGGGCATTCCCCCCAGGTAAAGATCTCTTCTGTTCCCC